AAGGGGAAGGAGAAGGTGAAGGGGAAGGACAAGGTGAAGGGGAAGGACAAGGTGAAGGGGAAGGTGAAGGGGAAGGGGAAGGAGAAGGGGAAGGGGGAGGGGAAGGGGAAGGGGAAGGTGAAGGTGAAGAGGAATATTTAGGTGAAGGTGAAGGGGAAGGAGAAGGTGAAGGGGAAGATGAAAGAGAAGGAGAAGGTGAAGGGGAAGATGAAGGTGAAGGAGAATATGAAGGTGTAGGTGGAAACTAACCTGTTAGTTTAGTCTAGAGTGCAATAGGCTATGTTTACTCCGCTAATATTAGTTACTTCATATCTTATGTTATGTTATTGTGTTTACATTTTACTTTTTCAGCCGACATTAATCAATGCATGCAAACTTATCGAAAGCTATTCAAACTAAATGAGTTGTTGTTTTCATCAGATGCTCTTTAAAGGTATGACAGAGTAGTGTTTCAGTTCAACAAACAAACTGAATGCCATCAGTCAAACCACAATATATCATCACATTACACATGAGTGGTACAGTAGAGGCTGCATTAAATCGGCATGTTTCCTCTGCTACAGTTTCCTCTGCTGCTACTCTTTAATGCCAGCACTCGGGTGGGTATAGTTTAAAAAATGAAGATACCAGTACCAACACCAACACCCTTAAATGAATACAGATACTAAAAGAGTAGATCATTCGATACCCATCATGGGAATGGAAGCATTCAGTTGTGTAAAATGCCAACACTGCGACTGTGGCTCATAAGGTAGAGCGGGTAGTCCCTCACTCAGAAGATCTGCGGTTCGATCCCCGGCTCCTCTAGTCCATGCCGATGTGTCCTTGGGCAAGACACTTCTCCTCAAATTGCTCCCGAAGAATGTGCCATCGGTGTGTGAATGCTTAGATAGAGTCCTGATGGGCAGGTGACACCTTTCATGGTAGCCCCTGTCATCAGTGTATGAATAGGTGTAAATGATGACATGTAGTGTTAAAGAGCTTTGAGTGGTCGGAAGACCAGAAAACAGATATACAAGTACAGTCCATTTACCATTTACTTCTATCAGTTTAGAAATAAAGGTGTGTAGTACAGCCAGACTCTCCAATGCTTTGGTGGCATCTTGGCTCGGTGAAGTGCCAACTCAAATACATTATTATTGGACATTACCACACCACAGACTGTATGGGTTGTAGCTGCTGTGCTTATGGGCCAATCACACATCGCATTCAATTAAAGAATGCTTGTGGGGATTGGCTGTGAGCAAAATCATACAAATAGTCATTTTATTCTAGATCTTGGCACAAAAAGGATCGATTACAGGTATCTTTTGACAGGAGTGTTGATACTACTTGGTACTGGTATATTATTACGTTAAAGGTATCGCATACCGATACTGAGTCCTAGCCAGCGCTGTCTGCAGCACAGCAACTGAAGCCAGGGTTCTCTGCAGCCCCCTGAGCTGCAGAATCTTTTTTGATAGTGCAATAGTTATGGGATGGCAGGCACGGCACAAAAAGGTAAGCTGTACAGAGGAAAGATGACACTTGACATGCCTCATATTTCAATATTTCTGAGTAGTAAAGTTATGTAATGAAACCCCTGGGGCTCGTTGGTATGGAGTAATTGTATCACAGGTCACACTGGGAATCCAGTGAATGCTGAGACAACCAAAACGCAACTTCTTGATGTTGCCTTTCAGAGAGAACGTCAGTGCATGTTTACTTACAGTCACAGTCAGCAAACACAATGCAGGGGTTCTTCCCTCCCAGCTCCAGAGTCACCCTCTTCAGATTACTTTTGGCTGACGCTTCTTTGATTAGCTGACCGACCTGCACACATAAGGGTATACTGAGTCATACCTTAATGCATCATGGGTAAAACTGAAAAAAACCTCCTTTACATATACCCAGAAACAGAATAAAAGAGACTTTAGATGTGAGTGTTAGGGCTGGCCTTTTAACTCAAACACTTCATGCTAATACAATCACTGATCATCATCTTTGCATTACAAAACAGATTTCTCAAGATGAAAACAATACAATACTTAGTTTCATATGAAGACATTTCATCTTGATAAAGGAGTAATAAATGAGTCTTTTCTGTAATCTAACATGGATGTCACAGCTCTACCATTACTATCCAGTTTTTTCCATCTCTCACTCACCCAATCAGTTCATTCAGTGCACCTGACAGTCACACTCACCTCATCAGCTCATCACTCTCACCTGCTCACTCTGCCTCCTCCACTATTTAAACCCCTGCCTCACACACACTCACTGCCAGATCGTTCTCCGCTTCCATGCAATACACCCATGGACTGATTCCCTGTTGCCGACCCTGCCTGTTTCGGACTACCTCGCCTTGCCTCTGCCCTGGTAACTCGCTCCTTACTACACCCGTTACAATGGAGGAATTTTGATTGTGGTTTGCATGCATTGGGGCTTTTCCACTGTTGAAACTTTGCCAGGGGACCAAGAAACGTTGCTGTTGTTTCAGGGACTTAATTCAGTTCACTTACAATCGTTCCAAGGGCAGGACTTTCTGATGGATGAGTATTGAGGCACGCTGCCCAACGCTGATTATGAATCACCAACACAACAAACTTTGAGTTTAAGGATTAAAAAAAGAGTTTCATCACATAGCACTGGCCCAATATAAATATCGTCATACACTCTCACACCTCTGTAGAGCCAGTGAAGGCTACTTTGTCGATGTCCATGTGGCTGGCGATGGCTGCTCCTGCTGTGGGACCAAACCCAGGAACAATGTTCACAACTCCAGGAGGGAAGCCCGCCTGAAATGGTAACCCAGAGAGCATGTTAGTGCTGGGGGTCGACAGCAAGAGACCCCTCATATGAGGTCAGAGACATTTGATCCGTCTGCCTAGTTCAGGGTGGGTTCAGTATTTCTTTTATCATCTTTCTATGTGAGCATTGTGACATTTTTGACAGTTTAAATATGATAACATATTGGTATTTTTATCTTTAACAACAAATGACCAGGCTTCTAGCTCCATTGAGGTCATGTCCTCTGTACTTTCTTCAAAGAATTGAAATGGATTTATGGGTGGAATTAAATATTCTACAACTAAAGCATTTACATGGTTTCACATATCTTCTATTGCCTCCAAATAAGAAATCACATTTACAAAAATACAGCAAACTTTACGTCAACTCAGTTCTCCATCAAACTGTATACTATGATGACTCAGGCGCAGACTAAAAGAGTCTCTACATTTCTTTGATCTTTTCACAGACTATAATCTGGTCTCCACACAGTATTTAAATAAAGCCTTGGGAATGTGAACTTGGAAACTCACCTTAAAACAGTTCTATAAACTGCAGACACAAACATATTTCATTTACAGTAACTCATAGACTTCACTACTTCTGTGGTTTCCTAAACTGTGATTATGTTGAGTGGAGGACAAGGACCTTGGGGAGTCCGAAACAGACATAGTTGAGGTGTTCAGGTCAAGATTGTCTCCCCTGCTGGAAACAGTCACTATCTAAAGATAATAGAAGCAGAGCAGTCTGATCTCAGGCCCAGAATAGGTTAAAGAATAAGTTTAATGTCTAAACCTCAGACCTCTTTGATGAGCGCTCCGACGTGGAGGGCCGTGAGGGGGGTCTGCTCTGCTGGCTTGATGACCACAGTGTTTCCACAGCTCAGGGCCGGAGCCATCTTCCACATGAACATCAGCAGAGGAAAGTTCCACTAGCACAGACAAAAGAAGGCATGTTAGCTGACTGCTGTCCATGTGTACCAGTACCAGTTAGATTAAAGCACACTGTCACAAACAAATGGCGCAGTTACGCTGCAATTTAAGTTTTATTGAATTTACCCCCTCTAGGCTGATATTAGTAGTTATTTCTGAAGTCATAGTTTATATCATAATATATTGCTTTTCACTGTTATACAGGTCATACACATTACACAGGTTAATCTGCTACAAGGGGTAAACGTGAGGTAAAATGAGCCGCTGGGTCGCCTTTGAACTCCACTCCTCCTTTGAAAAAGAACCTGAAGGAAACATTGGCATTGAAACACTTGTATTGAATGTTGTATGGACACTCAAAAAAGTTCCACTGAAAACCAATGCAGCAATTGGCCAGAGACGTGACATAATGCAAGTTTCCCTTTTTTCATTCTTCACACAAATACTTCTGTTACATTTTATGTGTATGTCCAAGTGCAACACGGTGAATGTGTTTGAGCAGACTGTTTCAAAGTGTGCACCATTATTTCAACAATGATTGCATCTCACTTCTCTCTTTGACTGTATGCTTTTCCTCCTGCCTTCTAGTGTGACTGTCTGGAACAGCTAGTACCAATTTAGATTTGAACTGTGGTTGTATCAAGTAGTTTGTTTCAATACACCCCGGTCCTGAGGATTGAGTGATACAGGCATTGTGCCAGACTGTGGTGGTGAAAAGGGAGCTGAGCCTGAAGGCTCACTTTGGGTTAATAGCTTTTGGGTGGTGAAAATATGAGATTCATGGATACAAGTGGCCGAAAACTGCTTTTCAGAGTGGCTGGGCTCATCTTCAGGTACAGGGTGCCTCACTGCTGATAACGATACCAACCGAACGGCTTGCTTTAGAGGTTTTCTGGACATGTCTAATATACTGAAGGGACTACATGACCAATCTGGACTGGGAACATCTTGGGAAGGACACCTAGGCTACCTTGCTAAGCCTGCTGCCTCACACAACAAAACTGCATTGTGAGTTACGTTTCGAGGGAAACGTATTTTGTCGCGGATCGGTTTCTAATGAAAGACCGCGTAGGGAGGAGGCGGTCGGGGTGGTGGAGGATGGGTCAAACAAACACAGGACTTTGACCCAGGAGAACGCTGTTTGTGTCCCTTGTAAAACAGTCAATGTTGAGTTACTCTAATAAACATCTGTCGCTTAAATAACCTAGCAAAAGTGTTTTTACCAAACCAAGTAGTTTTGTTGTGTTTTGGTTTTGCTTTCATTTACAATGTTAACTGTGTTTAAAACAGTTTGAAACATAATTAAGATGCTGTTAACTGTATGGGCAAATTATTTATTAGGAGACAGAGTTGGCCGCTGCTACTTGGGATGAAAAATACCTAACCCACGGGTCGGCAACCTTTACTGTCCAAAGAGCCGTTTTGTCCTATTTTCCACCAAATAAAATTTGTCTGGAGCCGCAAAAGCTATTTGATATCACAGCTTATAAAGTTTTATATATAGTTATATTATATATACAAAAGATATAGTTGTATTTATAGAACAAGAATAAATACAATTCTTGAGATTTTATTGTTATTTTACCTGTTTAGAACAATATCAAACTCTTATGAAGAGCTCAGTTTGCTGCAGCAGTTGAGAAATCGCTCTTTGTCGCTCATCTCCAGCACATGCTGTGTGCTTGTCTTTCAACATTACATTGTTTGCACATATCAAAAATAAAGGTAAACCAGCATCGTTGGCAGTGAAAGCAAATGAAGACGTCCATGCAGAATTATACTCTCTATTTTCCTCCATGACTTTTTTGGATTTATCCGTTGATAGTTTACTGAGGGCGGGTCTGCAGATCATGATTAGCCACCTGCAGAGAAAGGCTCCTGACAGCGACGTAATAGGATGTGATGCACATTTTAGGTGACAAAATACTAAAACATTTTATATTTTCAGTGATGCAGTATAAGAGCTGTTCCCTTTGAAAGATTGTCCACTTATTTATTTCCTTTTTTTTTTTTTTTTTTTTTTTTTTTTTTTTTTTTTTTTTTTTTTTGTCAAAGCCTGGGGGAGGTTGCCGACCCATGACCTAAACAATAGGCAGGTGTCATTTTCTGCTGCTATTTTTGTCTGATAGTAAAACAGCCAAATCATACAAAATATTTTGTGTGCAGAGAGACTTGAAGAGACTAGAATACTTTCCTTCTTAAATGACCTGATATGTTAAATACTTTTGATGTAAACAGTGGCTAATTTCTGTAAATATAAGTACATGAGAGGCACTAACCTGGGCCTTTAATCCAAGCAACACACACATCATCATCACTATTTTGGTCCCCTTCATCACTTAGAGAATATACAAGATAATAAAGGTAGCTCTGAATCTTTAGGATCATTCAAAGTAAACTAATTCAGAAAAGAAGCCACTTATTTTCCAGTTGCTCATTTCTATGTTGGAAACCAATGGAAAAAGAATTGAGCACCAAACCCAAATTGGACAGCAACACACGAGAGAGCTGCATGTTTATTGTTTAGGCATTGTTAACTTTTAACCGTTTTACACTTTGGAAACACTCAGAGCCATTAAGGGATCTTGGGATCTCAAGTGAGTAGAAAGGTTGCCTGTTTTCCTCTGACAATGACTCATGCTGTGTGTGTGTGCCAGCACTACTTTCAGTAATTACACAACGTCCTTCAGTATAAATTTCACTTTTATGATATAATCTCCCATGTCAAACAACAGCCGTTTTGTTCCTTTGTTGCCAAAGCAACATTGGAGGTTATGGGCCTCTGCTAAGAGATACAACTGAATGGCTGTATTCTGTCATGATGTTGAAATTATACATATGTGTCTGTCTGGATCTATCACAAAGTGCAACACCAACCAAATGCATGTATTCCAATGTATGAAAGTAAGTGGAAGCAGCACAGAACTGAGCTGTGTGTTCCTGTAACAATAGCCCTGAAGGGAGTAGCAGAGAGGAGCTCTTGTTTAGGGACAGCAAAGATTAAGATAAGGTTTCTGGTACACTTACCAGGGTTTCATTTCATCCTCGCATCCAGACAGTGCTTTTAAATTGAGTGCAGTTGTCTCACTAGAGCTACACATTTATGATCAGTGCTTTTCTGGAAAGTTAAGCTCAGTCTTTAGTGGTTCCAATTAAGCCTGAATGTAGTTCAAGATATAGTGTATTAGCAGTGTAAATGATGGAGCCATTCACTGCTGTAACCTGCTGACGTTTAAAGGGCCTGCTGCATTAAAGGAACTCTGTAACATTTTGGGAAATACGCTTGTGCCTGTATAAGTCATAGGAGCAGATTGATATAACTGTTATCTCAGCGTGCCCAGAGTGTGAATGATTTAATAGAGCTTGTGCAGCAAGTCAGTCTAATTTGCCTGAGTGGCCAACTTTGGTACAAAAACTGTGAGTTTACCTAAAACTGCAAACAATTAGGATGAACATTTTCTGAAGGCAAGAAAAGCTAATTCTATAGGTGTGACCAGGGAAAGAGCCCTTAATAAGCATACGCACAGAGCTGGAACAAACGAGGAGGAGATAAGCATTTCTTTGGCATATGTAGTGTGAAACTGTCATGGTCACTATGGAGTACTGCATCTAGTTCTGATAAATCCATGTTCCAGTATAAAGACAAATGTGGGATTAGTTTAGCCTGGCTTAGCTTAAAGACTGGAACGAGGGGAACCTCAGATGTCTGAATACATTCTTTGTCATTGCCTTCCTTTTTGCTCTCTGGTTACGGTTTGGTTGTGTTCGGGAAAATGACACTACTTGTCTTGTTTTAGTAACTGATCAAAGACATTGTTAAAGTCCAAACAGTTGTTGACTGCTGATAGGAAACGGATTGTGAACAGCTGTTTTCAGTGTCAAGGTTACACACGCTCTATTGATCCATCCACCTACAACCACCTTCCTGCAGGGTTCTGATGTGCTTTCTAAACATTCACAGGTTAGGACAGAACTCAACCCTGCATGTAGTCACTGAACCACAATGTGTCTACATGAGTAACTGGTGGAGTTCCAATCTCATTCTGTCATTTTGTCACAGCCCTCCGCATCTGACAGCAAACTCATCCGCAGCAATATGAGACACTCAGAGAAACTGCTCCAGAAGTCAAGTGGCATGGTTCAAACCTCAAAACAGTCTGAGGAGGTCGGAGGTCGGGGTGAATGGATGCGTCAGACAAACACAGGACTTTAACCCAGCAGACTGCTGGTCCTGTCCTGAGTGAAACCGGAAGTCAACGCTGGCTGAAATGAGGTAAGTATGTTACTGAACTTATGTAACAAGCATACTTATCTTAACCTATGGTATTTTCCTAAACCAAGCAGTTTTGTTGCCTAAACCTAAAGTGACGCCAACGGGTCTTGATCATGTGGCTTTTGAACCTAATGGTTAAAAATGATAAATGAAGAGAATCATGTCATGATCAGGATTTGTTTCTTCATACTTTTAAAGCTGTTTTGTTCGGAGTGGAGGTGTTTCTGGGTCCCAGTGTGTCATTTGACCATCCACAGTGATGAAACTGTGACTCGGCAATCATGCATTACAGCATTTTTTTTCCCAACCAGTCGAAGCTTTAGCTGTGTAACACATGCTTTAACACATACAGTATATGATGGTTATGTAGATATGCAGTGAGCTTGAGCACAGAACATAGGCCTGTCACAAGTTGGCATCACAGCAGTGTGTTGGACTCAAGTTATAAATGAGATATTGTGCAATGTTCTGATTTGATAAATGCTTATTAAGAACAGATTGTATTACAGCAGAATGGTCAGAGATCATGAGGTACCCTTTATTGGATCTCCATACACACACACACACACACACACTCAGTTTATAAACAACAATGCTATGTGTTGTCTTGTGTTATTTACAGTGTGTATGGGTGTGTTTATTTTTCTCAACAAGACAATTTAATGTGCACAGTAATAAGAATTCTTATTATACATTATTGCTCATAAATTAAAACCAGATCTCCTCTGCACTTACTGGAATGATGGCTCCACATACACCAACAGGCTCGTGTTTGGTAAAACACATGAAGCTTTCATCTGTAAAGAAAGCAGACACAGTACAAACACTTTAAACTACTGTATACTAGATGGAGGTTATGAATTAGGCACTGCCAACTTTTTATTTTTATTACTGCTTTACAGGCCCCTCCTCCCCAGCTCAACAAAGGTTATACTGGTCGCCAGCGGGCCAAAGCTCAGATTCACTCTTGTTTCGGATGCACTCTTACAAACACAACAAAATAAGAAGCTGAAGGCAGAGGGCAGGGTCGCTGTAGATAGAGACACCACACACTTATGTGGGTCAGAAGAGTTGATGGAGAGGGACTATTATTTTTCTATCAGCCTATACATTTTTTTTTTTTAGGAAATTCCTACTCCTTGTGTCTTTTAAATCCCAGTGAAACGGAATTTGGAGTGTCTTTATCTTTACTGTGACGTATTACTAATGTAACGCAACATTTGGGCTGTGTACAGTTACAAGAGGGATTTAGCTCAAATCCTTCGCATCGATTGGATCGCTAACAAGTGGGCGATACGTATCTGGTTGAACTAGCTAACGTAAGAACACGTCATATTTAGTTTTACAGGAAGAAAAGATGATTTGATTTAGATTTTAAAAAGAATATGAAGAAATGTATTCTTTTGTAATTGTTTCTGCATATGTTGTTAAATAGGTGCACATTATGACCGGGGATGTGATCTCCATTTCATCTTGACTTTAAACTACCGTTTAAAAAGTCAAGTAGATGTTTGCACAAGAAGGTTGTTCAGTTAGTTTCCAGATAAAACGAAAGTTACGAATGTAACTACGGTTCTATGAATCCTGGATGACCGCCAGAGGCAGTGCTTAACACTGGATATCTTCCGTCTCGCGCATGCGCAGGTCGAATATTTATATCAACAAAGTCAACTGTGACCCCCGGTGACCCCCCCCCCCCCCCCCCCGTCATCTATAAGTTCCGGTGTCATCCTGAGTTCAGTTCTATGGAATCTTCTCGCGAGTTCACGGGATTCCGAGTGACCAAGAACTCTGGAGGTCATCCAGGATTCATAGAACCGTAGCTGCATTCGTAACTTTTGTTCTATTTCATCCTTACTGACCGCCAGAGGCAGTGCTTCACACTGGATGACTTATATCAACAGTCACGAGGAAGCACAGTAACTACCTCGTATAGCTCCGGCAGAGAAAATTGGCCAAAGAACCCTCCCCAGTGGGTGAGGGGTGGCAACGTTAACTCTGTAGTGTTTGGTGAATGTGCGCGGTGATGCTCATGAGGCCGTAGCACATATATCCTCCACAGGCACACCTCTCAGGGCTGCCCTTGACATGGAGACACTCTTGGTAGAGTGACCCTTCACCCCGGATGGCCAAGTGCAGTCGCTCGCCTTGTATAGGCAATGGCCTCCACTATCAAGTGGGATAGGTGCTGTTTTTTAGAAGGAGCACAGCCCTTCTTAGGCTCACCATAACTGACAAAGAGCTGCTCCGACTGCCGTATGCAGGCGGTGGCTTCCACATAAGCTCTGAGGGCACAGCCTTGACCTCTCCTCTCCCGATGGGGGGGTCAACTTTGCCAGCTGGATAGGCTGGTTGATATGTGAACGTGTCAACACCCTTGGGAGAAATGCTGCATTAGGCCACAAAGTGACACCCAAGCCATCTGAATTCCACTTCAGACGTGATTCTTTCACCGACAGGGCATGCAGCCCGCCCCCACATTGAGCTGAATTGATGGCAAGGAGAAAAAACGTTTTGGCCGATAGCCATCTCGGCTCCGCCTGTGCCAGGGGTTCAAAAGGAGACAAGCATAAGGTGTCCAGTACCAAGGGTAGATCCCATGCAGGGGCCTTCGGGGCGCTCTGGGGATGCAATCGCAGAGTCCCCTATTTTTTTTTTTTTTTTTTACTGGTGTCCTTTTTTTGGAAAGGACACCAGTCTGTGGCTCTCTCCTGTGTCATTATCGACCTTAGTATGCTGCCCCGAAATAGCGGCCACGTATACTCCAAGGGTAGAGGGAGACCGGCCCTTATCTAGGAGGGACTGTAGAAACTCAGTACAGCAGGCACGGGGCGCTGTACTGGGACCTTGTTCTGAGCCGCACACCAGTCAGAGAACAGCTTCCACCTGTTTTTGTACTGCAGGCAGGTAGACTGCGCGCTGGCATTCAGAATAGTCAGTCTGACTGGTTCTATGCAGCCACTCAGCATCCGGTCGGGCCCTCCCGTGGCCAGACCCATAGTTGAAGGCGGCAGGGATTGGGATGCCAAATTGCGACAGGAGACCCCTGCTGTCGGGGAAGAACTCTGACAAGCATTAGCAAGATCAGACGGAATGGTGGAAAGGCATAAAGAAGATCCTCTGGCCACGTGTGAGCCAGGGCATCTTGACCCAGCGGACTGGTCCTCTCCGTCAGGGAGACCCAGTGGGGGCAGTGGGTCGACAACACGTCTGGATGCAGCTGCCACTCTCCCGGTGGAGGCTTGTGACGGAACAGGAAAACCACAACCTGGTTCCGTTCTCCTGGTGGGTACATTGCCCGCAGGCTGGTCAGGCGAGGGGCCGCCCAAGTCAGAAGGGCACGGTGATCCCCGTAGCAACTTCTGCAGATCTGGTGCCCCATTGATGGTTTATGTGAAAACGCAGCAGAGGTGTTGTCCAACCGGACAAGCACATGCTTTCCCTTCAAATATGGCAGGAAGTGCTTGAGCGCTAGCTCTAGAACCTTGACCTGCGGCCTTTGAGCAGACAACTGCCCCCAAGCAGTCCTGTTCTGTCACACTGCACCCCGCCTTGACAGGCAGGTATCTGTTGTGACAATCTCCCGGCGGAATGGAACCGAGCTCATGGGGACACTGTTTGCCAGATATGCACTCTCCCTCCATGGGGATAGAGTGAGTAGGCACTGTTTTGATACTATTATTGCCCTGTATCTGTGCCACTTGGCATCCAAGTGAAGGCAGTTCAGCCATCTGCAAACCCAAGGGAACGACACTTGAGGCAGCTGTCAGTTTACCCAATAGTCGGAGAAAAGGATGTAGGGCAACCGTCTGCCCCCTCGGAAGGGGGAGAGGTTGTGGGGTTGTTGTCCACACGCTGGGGCGACAGACAGGCCCTCATAGGGCCAAACTAATGAAGGTTATGCTCTGAGAAGGGCTCGGGTAGCTCCTCTCCATGTTCACCTTGAGGCCCCACCGGGCCGCGTGAGAGAAGGCGAGCAGTGTCCTGTGGCGCCTGAAGCCGGGATGGCGCCCAGGTCAGCCAGTCGTCTAAGTACGGCAGTATGTTCACGCCCTGTGATTGCAGGGGGAAAGGACAGCAGTAATACACCTTGTGAACACCCATGGGGAGATGGGAGAGTCTGAATGGAAGCAACCTGGACTGAAAGTGGCGGCCTTAAAAGGCGAAACGAAGAAACTGCCTGTGGTGATGCACCATGGGAATAGGCGTCGATAGACATGAACCACTCTCCCTTGGAAATCTGATGCTAGGAGAAAAAAACCGACAGCCGGCCTGGAGACATCTCCTGGCCCCCCTGCCTCTGGAGGCTTTGGGGGGGGGGGGGGGGGGGGGGACTGTTAGTCCCCAAGTTCGGAGGTTGTCTGGGGGGGACGTAGGTAGGGATGTATGGGTAGCGGTCCGGTCTCTCAGCGGGACGCTGAGGCCTGTGGTGGCTACTAGGGTAAGCTGGAGGCTGAAAAAACGGCCTTGGGGGGCCAAAGTGGGACCCCTAGATCTGCGGGGTGCAGGCATGTCCCTGCAAAGACCAGAGAACTGCTGCCTGGTCTGGCTAGCTTCAACAGTTCGCTGAAGCGCCTGTATAGCAGCTGACTTGAACAGCTCACTAGGTTCCACTGGGACAGTACGGAGGGTCCTCCTACATGTCTCAGACAGGGGTGACTGCACCAGCCAAACCTGGCGGCGAGTCTAGACCAGGGTGGACATCATACGTCCAAGTTCCCTTGACATGAGCGCAAACGCCTGCAATGAAGCATCACTGAGGCTGGAGGCGGAAGCGTCGAAAGTAGCCTGCTGCGAGGGCAAGCATGAGGTGGGAGAGGGAGTTGTCGATACGGTCCACAGCGCTGCTGTGTCATAAGCCCTGGATAGCAGGTCATCTTTGACCCGACGTTGGGGTTGAGGGCACCTGGCATCGGGCCTCAGAGTCTCCTCAGGGGAAACTATGATGGACGCAATAGTCGGCCAAATGGCTGGCATAAGTGCAAGGCCAAATTTTGCCACCTCCTGCATGGCCGTCAGGGTTCGCCATCTGATGTAAGGTGGGAGAGAGCCCTGGTGTCTCTCCAGCATGTATGCAACTCCCTCAGATATTCCTCGGCGGGAGGAACAGAAAAGGTGGTGGGGGCGGGAAGGCGCCTGAAGAAGACACTCGCAGGTGGAAGTTCCAGCTGATGTGTATCCCACTGTAGGCGTGCCAGCGCCATGCAAATGTTCAGTGTAGGTTGGGCTGGATTCAGCTGCCCTGACAGGGGGAGGTAGACCTCACGCATCAGGTGTTCCACTTCGGCCAGCCTAGCAGACCTTACTGCTCAAGGCGTGATGCCGCAGGTTCTGCCTGGGTTCTCCGAGAGGCCCTCCCTCAGATGCCCGAGGCAAGAGGTCAGGGCCGACCTCAGGCTGAAGAGGAGCTATACAGGTCCTACAGCCGGGAGAGTTTAACATGGCCGCGATTCTGGAGGAACCCTTGTCCCACTAGTTGATGCGGAATTCCATTGATGCGATCAGATAGCACTTCTACGTGTGATTATGGACAAACAGCTCATTAGCTTTTTGTTGAAAAAAAAAAAAAAAGTGCAATATTTCTGCTGTATTGTTAAGGTGTCTTTAAGTGAATGCTTTTAGAATGTAAGACCAGTTTTAACAGTGAGACCAACACTCATTTACCTTCAGCTGTACTGTCCGTAAAACGTGTCAGTGGCTCAGCCGATAACTGGTCAAAGCTGGCCTCCCAGTCTGCACTCTGACCTTCTCCAGTTTCCTGTGTGACTGATCACAGACTGGGAGACTCCCTTACAGCAGGACTTTATCTTTGAGTCACTGGGTGAGTCCATGTTCAACCACAGCTTACTGAAGGTTAGTCAGTTGGGAACATCCTCATACACAATGTGCTGTCAGTGTGTAACACAGGATTCAGAGGGACAGCCTCAGGCCTACAGTAGCTCTAACACTCCACATTCTAAACTGACATGTCCATTATACTACAAGATCAGAGGCAGGAGCATCCCTCTGCACGGATGGACTGATACCAAAATCACTTTGTCAATGAGACCATTAGATCGATTAGTGAGCTGAGGTTCGTGGTCATTTATCTAGCTGACCAGTGGAGTGCCTTTGTCCCTCTACCACTTTTGTTATATTGATGATATATCTATATTTCAGATATGAATAACTTGGCTTTATATAAGAATGAGAACACCATAAAGGTCATTTAGCATTAAGTTGTCTATTCAGAAACACTTGGATCAAAATTTTGGATAAAGACTATTATATTACATATAATACCTATTTTATAATAATAAGTTACCATCACAATATGTTTGATTTATGGTGATTTACTCCTTGCTGTTATTGTTGATAATGTTGCTACATGTTGTATTGATTTATTGCTAGTTTAATGTTACCTGGAATCCTGCAGCTCTGCTCTGTCTTGTGTCATTTAATCTCCCACTTTCCATAAAGTCAAATGCACTTATTCCTGACGGTGACATGTCTGATGATGGGCGAGCTGGCTAAGCTTAGTAAGCCAGCCTACAGCATGTAGCTTTATGTAAATATTTCTTCTGCTGTCAAACTAAAATTAAAAAGCAGCCGAGCAACAACTTATTGTGTCTGCAGTAGTACAACAATTCTACTTGTGAGAATGAATGAAATGAAAAGTGGAAATATTTGTTAGCTATTTCTAGTGGCATCTAGAAATGCAGATACTTTTGGTTTCTGAATCTGACTGAGTCATCATTAATAATGTTGCTGTGTTACATTTGACTGCATTTGTAGACTCTTTCTTTAAACTTGTTTTCTTCTCCTATCTTTATTTCTACTGTTGTAGAAGCTATGACAGGTACATTTGTTAGATTTTCTCAGTTTTCAAACACAATGCACTGGTCAGCAATCGGCACATTTAGACTGACGGAGAGGGTTTCCAGTACACAACAGTGTTGTCTATCCTGAGTCCACGACTCATCCAGACAAATCTTACTTTGCATCCCATCCGGTGAAACTAGTCTCTGCAGCAGCTAAAGGATTTCACAGTGTGTCTGTCGCCAGCTACGACTGTGCAGTTTTCATATCAACCTTCAACTCTGCTCTGTGTCTTGTCTTGATGACTGGTAGTGAAACCGCTCCAGGATAAAGGTCGGGATTACTGGCTGAGAGGCTGCCGGCTCGGTGAGGCATTGAGCCAATGCTGATTGTTAATCCTCACAGACCGATTACTATCTCGGCCTCTTCCTCTTCCTTTTGTCCTGCTGTGCCTTACATCTCTCACCACTCTATTGGGATCTAATCAGGAGGAAAAGTCAAGCGTGTTTTGTCTATCCGCTGTCCTGCAAAGGAGACGCAAAGTAGGATCTGACAAGACGGGGAAGTATTAAGGCTGGATGAGATACCAGCCAGACCAGGTCACTTGCACCATAGCAATTAATTTGTTTCCCAATGGTGCACTGGTTATGGAGCCCTATTAATTATCATTTGCACACTTTTACCCATCTTCATTTATTTATTCATGTATATTCATTTTGCATATTTATTTATGGAGCTCATAAAGAAAGGGAAGAAAAACTGATTTGTTCACACAAACTCAGCCAAAAATATGAATTGATGCTCTCAAATGTATGATTGAGTAAATAGACTAAATTGAATTGAGTAATTCCAGGCACCGCAAATCTAAAACGCTCTTTCCGATCCGACAGGATCAGACACAACTTTTAACTTTAGTTCCTGCTGTTACATCAACTTAAAGAACAATGCAAATCAATTCATTTGTGACAGCAAAAAGTAACAGGAGAAAACAAATGTGTTGATTTTTGTTTCAGCCTCCTTAAAACTTGTGTGTATCACAAACTATGTTGTGCACTGGAAACACGAGAGGCACTTTAGCTTTAGTGTTGAGTGTGTTTCTGTTGTCCATGTCAGGGCGTCTGAGGCCACATATCGACTCACACTTCTCCCACACTTACACGTAACTGTGACCCAAAGGGTCAAGACCGCAAGTCTGTTTTCCTCCTATATGCAGTGATTGTGAATTGGACTCTGAGTGCTGCCAAAATGCAGGTGACCTACACAACAGTACTGTCCCTGAACGCATCCCATAGCCACACACATACACATACATCCACAGTATATACAGTCTTTAGGCGTTCTTGTGTCACTGTGCCGTTGTCTTTGCTGTCTGTTGTTTTAACGATGGCTGCATGTAAATGTTTTTGTTTTATTATTGATACAATAACATGATGGTTCTTTTGTTGAATTCCTGACAGTGAGAATACGATGACACACACACACTCACCTACAGGTAGACTCTTGCCGTGGATCTTGTCGGCCCAGCCTGCATAGTACCGAAGGGTTTTGATGCTGCCGTCCAGGTCAATGAAGAAGGAGTGCAGGAAGGGCTTCCCTGTGTCCAGAGTCTCCAGGGTCTAAAGAACCAGGAAGACTAGCATTCAATCACGTTGCACATTTATATGAAATATTTGCAAAGCCATCACTGTTCTTAAGAAATGTGATTTGTCATTGTAACTGTAACTGTAAATGATTATGTAGCTTTGATTTAACCATTGCTGCAAACAACCCTCCTGGTTAGTCAAAACTAATTTGGAAAACAAAATGAATGCTGACGGTAAAATGATCTCCAAACTGTCCGTTGTACACTTCCATCCCACTACCTGCTTCCACTTTGACCTCCTGTACTTACTGTATTTTCCTGTGCAATCAGAGATCATTAGGAGCATTTTACTCTATTTCAGTTTGAAATTCAATTGAAGTAATTTACAAAGAGAATCTGGATAAACCTTGTTTCACACCTGAAACCTTGAGATTTTTCTTCTTTCAGACTAGTAGGAAGAAAACATCCCAAATACACATTTTGATGTTTATTTTTACTTCTATTTGCATCTGAAAATTTCTCATAAATTCACCATTAGATAATGTCTCATTTGCATATTTGACACATACTCATGAATGATTATGTTAGAATGAGCCAGACATGATTTACATGGCAGTGTGTACCAACATCTATTCCATGTGTACTTACTTTTATGTCATTGTCAAAGGAAAAATAAGAAGTGTCTCCGCAGCCCTACAGATACTGGAACCACTGTACTACTTTACTGTACCTTTAAATGGTCCCAATCTGGTCCTTATTTCCCCAAACATAGCTGGCAATTTAGCGTAATTAGCCATACCCTGCACACTACCTCTGCAGAACATGTTTGCAATTAGCAGTCACATGCAATCTGATATTATCACTTCACTCACATCTGTAAGGGCTCATTTATAGATCTACGTCTCAATGCAAGATGGCAGCTAAACAGAGTGATTAAACACAGCAATATCTGAAAGAGAGGGAAAGAAACATCCAGCAATCATTACAGTGAGTGAAAAGAGACTGGGGTGGGGTCATGATGTCATGCAATAATATAGGCCAATCCCTGATATGAATAAGTCAACATCATGAGAGCACATGGACAGTTTTCAGCCGCAGGATATCCTATACCTTTGCTGCTCATGAAATAGCACTCGCTTCTATAATTCACATCCATAGTTATGAATAATATCTGAAACACAAGCAACACGAGAAAAAGAAACCTGTTGTCGTTTAGCATGAGTTAGTTGTGTAATGCAGGGACTCGTGGTCATTAGGGAATATGTGTTTTTCCAGATCTGACACTGAGTTGTAAACATTAGAAAATATTCAGCAAAGAGGAAATCTGCTTGTCAGAAGAAATAAATCAGAAGTGGTGGAAAGCAAGTTAACACATTTACTAAAGTACTGCTAGTAACTACAGTTCTGATGTTCTTGCTTTTTTTATGCTACTCTATATTTCAGTACATTTCAGAGGGAAACTTCTTATCTGACAGCTAGTCATTTGGCAGATAAAAATCAATCTTTAATGACCATAAAATATCTTTCTTTTTATACAGTAAAATAAACTACCCAACAGCAATAAAATACTTTCAACCACCTCCATCTAAAACAGAAACAACATTACTATTATTACACGCTAATGCATCAGTAATAATATTATTCATGGCCATTATGTTGCATAACAAATATATCCTTTTGATACTTGAAATTAGTTTTACTCTTGCTACTTTTACAGTAGTGACATTTCGATGGAAGATGATGCAAGACGTTTATTTGTTTATTTTATTTTTCAGTTTTCACCTCAGTTCAATTTTATTTGTAGAGCCTAAAATCTAAAATGATAAATTTGCCTCAGAGAGCTTTAACATATATACGTAATCCTCTGTCCTTGTTTTTCTGTTTGTGGAAGTGATCAGTGATCAGAGCAATCAAAGGTTGCCATTATGACATTGACCAATTTTTATGTATCACGTGAATTGTTTTAACGTTTTGTAACTACTTTTATATTTAGTTTGATGTAAATATATCCCTCCCCATAATTAAGATTTTTTTCATCAAGTTATTTGTCTTCTAGATCCCATTCTAAAATGCATCTGTAACTCTTGAAATGTACAAGTCCATCATGTTTTCAAGTTAAAAACAAATATTTTAAATTGTGAAGTAAAATATATGGAGGCTACTAGAGTTTATGTAAAGTTACGACCAATTGAGAGAAGCCACGCAGCTTATACAACAGCTCTCTGTAGAGAACACTACACTCTGGCCTATAGGGCGGGGAGCACAGAGAAGTACTGGGAAGGAGCCCACCGCCAGCAGCAGCCGGTCCCTCTCCATCAGGTCGGCCAGTTTGTGCAGCAGCCTTCCGCGGCTGGACGCATCCATCCTCCGCCACGGAGAGCCTCTCTGCTCGGCCGCCTTGGCTGCCTCCACCGCTTTGTCCACATCTTCCTACACAGAAAACAATAAGCAGAAATAAACGGGACATTGTCGGGACGCGCAGGTCTCCCGCAGCTATAAAGACAACGCTAGAACAAAGTTAGACTCAGCGGGCTGTGCGAACCGCGCATGGAGACAGAATGACTTTTTCTAAAGCTTTCAGGGTCACTTTACAATTCCTAATCATATTCGCATAAGTGGTATCAATATTAAGTTTTGAAATCTTTCGGTTGCCAACTTCCCACGTTGATGAGAGACGTCCCGTGGCGTGCGTTGAAAAGCAGCGTAAACGCTACTTACAAGATACATTGTGTACCGAATTTATTTGATTAGGATTTTTTAATATGCTGGAGTTTTTAGACATTTTTCTGAAGAACACAAAACATTAAATTAAGTTAATTTAAATGTTTAATTAAATTAACAGATAATAAAATGAAGTTTGGCTTGAAGCTGTTTTTCCCTATTCATTTTGTGAGGTATGTATGTAGACCTTCACTGACTTTAAATTCATTATTATTATACAATAAAATAAATGAATGGCTTCTTACCTTGTCTGCTTCTTCCACATCACAGATTTTGACACCTGTGGCTGGGTTGAAAGTAGGAAAAGTCCTTCCACTGCTGGATGTGTGCCATTCATTGTCAATAAAAATCTGTGGAAAGTAGGGAGTGTTTGTAATGACTTTGGTTTGTGCCTCAACTGATACCTGATTTAACCCACCATCAAAGTTCAAAAAACGCAATAGAGTAAATGCTTCCAACCCTAGCTGCAGCAGCTGAACCTGGTTTGTATGTAGAGCCCCTTACCTTGGTGTGTCTGACCTCCTGGACTTTGACAGGCTGAGGAAGAGGCAAAGCTGGGATCCCTTCGGCCACTCCGTTCTCTGTTGTTCCGTTCTGTGCCATTGTGGGTCAGCAGTACAGTCCAGGGCCAGTCTGTCTGCTCCGTCTACTCAACAATGTCAGCCCATCCACTGGCTTTTTATAAGAATGTAGAGTTCCTCCCTCCTCACACAGCAGTTGAGGAGAGCCCAACTCCGCCCCTCAGCTCCGATGAAGGGCCCTTATCTGTGGGGATATGTGTTCTTACAGAACCGTAGAAACATTATGCAACATGTATTCGTTTTATAACTAGTGTGTGAAAAGTGTGGAAGATGGTGGTCATGTGATACTGTTGACCTGCTGTTACCTTCATACTTGTATATAAGCAAGGCGGTGAGGCAGCAACTATTTCCAGTCATGACGAGGGTGAATAAACACTTTTCATTTGAACTGGTTGGATGAGCATTCACGAGCTGTGTGAGAGAGACCGTACATTCCAGATAAAGTGCTGCTTTTTTTAGGCTATCTAGGAAGTTAGCGTCGCACTGGTTCCCTTGTCAAAAAAACAGCTGGGATTATTCCACTGGATTTTGGATTATGGCAGAAAATAAACTCTGTGGCAAACAAACGTTCATGTTACGTATACGTTTCGCTCAGCAAGATCATCTTCACAAATGAACAACATTTTTATGACTGAAGTGTAAAGGGGATCGGGAGAAGTAAAAACAACATTAGGCTATAACTATACATCACACTCACATGAACATGAGTATACACAACGAGGCTGTGAAGGCGGAGGTGACGTTTAGGCATCTCATTTAGACCGCCTTTTTTAAGACACATAAAAGCCTCAAAGGTCAGTGCAAAGTGCAAAAATGCTGAGTCTTTCCAAGTTTTATGGGCCTTTCCCACAGAACATGTCAACTACGCTCTGAGACCCATTATTACCAATTGCTTGCCCGGCGCCACAATGTTTCTTTGCCCCTTGGACATAATGTGCAGCGCAAACTGCGTCCTGTGTGAAAGGCCCTTTAGGACTCATTCCTGCAGCACTTCATTCAGAGCATATCCATTGCCTCACTGCTCTCAACATGGGGATGGCTGAGCCAACAGCTAGCAGCTAACGGTGTAAACAATAGTAACAGTGCTGATAGAGCTAACAGTGTTTACCTGAGGGGTAATGGGAAGGTGGGAGCTACGCTTCCATGACGCGTTATCGGCTGTAACCACTGTATGAGATAAGTGCAGGCCGGTCGTGAGGTAAGTGGAGCACGCTCACATGCACTAACGTGCACGTGCGTCCTGCTCGGCCATGTCAACAAAGCACAGAGAAGCTCGGATTACACACAGAGATTTGACTTATTTTCCTGCTCAGGTTAACATTACTCCACACATCTTTACATAGAAAGGTGTTGCTACATCAGTGCTCTGAATATCTGTAGATAATCTTTAGCAAAGTGAGAGTCAAGAGTACAATTTCACACCTGAATTATTTGGCTGTGTCTTTCAGTCCAAGCAATGAAAGTAATGAGACTGAATTCATTCTGCTGAACAATATTTACATCGCAACATAGCAGCTTTGATCAGCTTCTGTTGACCTATTTGGACCGACTGTTCATCAACCGTGCAAAGGTGTTATGAGTTGTGATGTCCTTTGCACATTTGGTTTTCGCACCTGGGCCTGGCGAAGTTGAATGGAGTTGAACACATGCAAACAAATGCTTTTGTTCATGAGGACAAAGCTGCTTGCTTGCTCCGGGCTTGCACTCATACACAGTCTGCTATTGTTTCCCCTTCATTGCTTCTTGTCACTCTTTATGTCAAAGTTTAATTAGGACAACGGGCTTTCGCAGGCTCATTTCTCACTTCAGCAACTTTCTAACACTTCATAATGAGAGAGAGAGACTCAAAAGGATTTGATGAAGGGGGAGGGGGGACTTGGCAGGATGGTTAAGTCGGGAAACAATATTGAATGCAAAGCATGGGCCCAGAACCATGCAAATAAGCAGGAACCTGCACTGGATTCATTGCTAAACAGGTTGAGGGATTAACGGCAAATGAGAGATCAACAGGGCCACCATACATATTCTTTAGACGAGGCTCGCAAACAAGTATTTATTAGAGTATGGAACAAAGCCATTGTAGTTTTTTATCAAATGGTACTGAAACAAAAGGAAATGCTGCGCTGGTCTGGGACTATTTTCAGCAGTGGATGAATTAACATTAGGTGCTATAGTTAGTGTTTCTGTCACCCAGTGCAACAGTGTCTCATTGACATTTTAACAACAATTGAGCTCTATGGCAAAGAGGAAGAAGAGGTATCTGTCTTTGAAACACACACCACTTGTTACCATCATTGCTGGTTTAGCTGTACACGTGGGATTGACCTATTTTTCATACATTGCTTTAGCATATTTTACTGTTGCTTTGGTTCCCACAGTGGAGCTTCAATATGCAAGCCATTAAATGTAAAGAGCTGAGCCAACTTAAATTAAATGATTACCCTAACTGTAAACTAAAAATTGTGAGCTATCAATGAGGGAGGTACAAATCACAAAAACATTTATTCATATTTTTGCCAATATTATCTTGGCGGGCAGCATCATTACACAGTTGCTAATCACTACTAGAGTTGTTTTTGGCAGTTTGTCATAAACAGCAGACGATGTTTTTCAGTGAGAAAAAATGACTTTTCTCTTTTTCCCGTCAGGATTTGAGTGCACATGCAGCACCAGCCTCAGGTAGTCAGTGTAAAGCAGACGGTTACCAAGAAGCAAAGCATCATGGGAGTAAGAAAAAAAAAATCGTTATCATGTATGGATAAACCAAAATGAACACTGTAAGCCAACTACTTGATTACTATGAGTAAATTATTTAGACAGCATTTGTAGAGGAATGATTCCATCCCAAGCTATTAAATCCATAAACATGTACACTGTACCAGATTGATTGTTTGATTATTTGTTTGTTTTGGTAGACAACATGTGAAGAGTGGAAATGTGATATTTTATATGATACTTTAGTTTAAATCAAATCTGAATTTTACTGAAACAAACCTTTATAAAGTCTGCTTCTGTAGATCTCGTGACATGGGCCACCGGGAACACTGCAACGAGGTGTGATCCCTCTGTGATCATGAAGTTCTACAGCACAATATTCAATCGACCAGCTGACTGACTGTCAGGAGAGCGTCCTGTCGTGGGAAAGTGGATCCAGGTGACCTCTTCTTCCAGGCCCGGCTGCTCATGCTAATTGGCACTGCACACCTTCTAATGACGGTCAGCAATCTTCAAGGCCAATCACAATCCCTACAGATAGCTAACAGCAGCATTATGTGTTGTGTGGAGAACTTGTCGTTTATCATTCATTTCAGCTGCGATACTCAAATTAGGAGAATGTGATGAAACCAGAGATAACATGAGTGAAAACTGAAGTGATCCATGTTTGCAAACTGGGGTGATACAGCAGAGCAAACACAGGGAATTATAACAGCAATTTACCTCTCAGAACTAGAGAAGTGTATGAAGTATTTCTGCACATGCACATCCATCCATTGTGATGTAACTAAGCTTTATGGAGTAAAAAAATTAAACCTTCACAATACTAAAGTATAATAAAAACAACTTACAGGTTGTGGAGAAATTATATTTCACAAAACATACAATAAGATATTTCAGATTCTATAATATAGTGTATAAATAGGAAACAAGTGTACATTGACCATGCAGGAGATGAATATGAAGAAGGAAAACTACTCTACTTTTTGCTCATTCATATGAAAACACATGATATGATAACAATATTATATAACAATATAATAATACACAGGTACAGTACCAAAAAAGGACAACCTCAAAATTGAATTGAATTGAACCACTAACGTATCAGCTACAGCAGCTGTGACTGAGTGTATCTCAGTCCAATACAACAGAAAATAATAATAATAAAGGATTGAAGTCGAATTTGAGATATGTATTAAGCTGTTCCATTAGGGCACAAATGATTTATTATAAGGAAACAAATTGATTGAGTCAAGGAAACAAATGATCATAATGTGGGAACAAGACATGTAGCACAGAAAATATGTCATTTTAGGGTCCCAATGACTGATTGATCAAAAATCCCACATTTCATTTAAAATACAGAGTATTTGAAGTTTAAGAACTTGTTTAGGGAAGGAATGACTTCATGGCAAACAAGAAGCACCAGTAACATTCTGGAATACTCCCAAATGCCCGATTTGAGAATCTCATAGATATGATCTGAACCATAAATATCATTCTTACCTTGAGCGGCTTTCTCTTTAACCTCAAAGCACTTTCCCGTGTCTGTCTATAGTTGGTCTGGACTTTCAGTCACTCTGCTGCATATTGACACAAACAGACAGAAAGCAGAAGAGAGAGGGGGGAGATGAAGAAGGAGAGAACAATTCAGATGGGAAAAGATGGACAGATAGAGAAAAGAGGGAGAGAAAGAGAAGGAGAGAGGGAAGGAGGGAGAGTCTGAAGCACTGAGATAACTGTCCAGGTGTTCAGAGCCAAACAAAGGCTCTTTTCAGGGCCGGATGAGAACGCACTGCTTCTCCACTTGTTGCAAAATATACAGGATAGATGAAAGAGGACAGAACAGGACGGAGCTTACACTCTGTTACCGCACCAAAGTTTGGAGCAGGGGAAAGCCTACCCAATGACATGAGCCTCATTGCTGCCAGTAAACAAGAGTAAAGGGCTGAGGTCCGAACTGTGAACACTGACAATAAGGGAATTGTGTGCAGTTGCAGTAAGTATCATGTGTTTGAGGGTTCTCAGGATCAAAGTTGATGGGATGATAAGAGGAGAGAGGTAAATACAGCTACAGGACAGTACACCTTCCCTCCAAGTAGTTACAATAATATACATCAGCAGCAATTAGGTCTTAAATGTTGCTTTTTAACATATCTGGTAAGTCATTCAATGTTGATACTGAATACATACCAGCTAAATAAAATTGCAGACTACTCAGAGTCAGACAATACTGTAAACATTGTAATATTATACATTGTACCATTGATTGTTAAAGAGAGAAGATGGTCTGTTTCTATAGAGTTATTCTTAAAGCTCGTCATCGGTGCCACCGGG